CCTTCTTTCTTTGCGTGAACATTTTGTTACGGATAGATAACTCAGAATCCAGTTGCAAGTGAAGTGATTTATTGTGACAATAAATAGTGAACAGGATCGCAAGCCAAACGTGAGGATTCAGGTGAGTAGATGTGAGCACACGGGGATTGCGAAATCCTGACCCGATCCAGCTAGGGTAGTGGAATCCAGCGAGACTACGATGGTCTCCCAGACTGGAAATAATCCGAGGCAGAGATCCGCCGGGCACACAGACTCTGGAGAGAACAACAAGCATGAGCAAGGACAAACAACGATCTGACAACATGCAGCACAACACACGAGACAGATAAAGACAGGACAGAACGAGCAGCAGGTGCAGCCGCGCTGATTAGCTCGTCAGCCCCTTGGTTGCCGGAGCAATGCTGATGAGCAATCAGACAGGTAACACAAACAGACACGCAGAATTGAACACACGGATCCATGAACCGTGACAGTACCCCTCCCCCTAGGAGCGCCTCCTGGCGCTCCCAGAAGAACTTACCTGTCGATTGTAATCATCGATAAGGGAATGATCCAATATGTCCCTAGCAGGAACCCAACTCCTCTCCTCCGGACCGTAACCCTCCCAGTCCACCAGGTACTGAAATCCGCGTCCCCTCCGCCTCGAGTCCAGAATGCGCTTAACCGAATAAGTGAGTTCCCCATCTACGAGTCGCGGCGGTGGGGGAACTGGGGCAGGCGGATTAATGGTAGAACGAAAAACTGGCTTTAATTTGGAGACATGGAAGACGGAATGAACTCTCCTGTACGCAGGAGGAAGTTTGAGGCGGACTGCCACCGGACTAAGAACTTTGGTGACAGAAAACGGGCCAATAAATTTGGGAGCTAGCTTATTACAAACGGATCGGAGAGGAATATTCTTGGAGGAAAGCCACACCTTTTGACCAACGACGTAAACGGGAGGCTTCGACCGGTGGCGATCGGCCTGAGCCTTGGTGCGCGTCCTCACTTGGAGAAGAGTCTCTCGGGCTTTTTTCCAAGTGCGACGGCACCTCTGGATGAAGACGTGAATGGAGGGGACCGCGACTTCGGATTCCAGACTGGGAAAAACAGGTGGCTGGTACCCTAAGCTACATTCAAACGGAGATAGGCCCGTGGATGACACTGGTAACGAGTTGTGTGCGTACTCCACCCATGAGAGTTGTTGGCTCCAGGAGGAAGGATTCTGAGTAACCAAACATCGCAACGTTCTCTCAAGATCCTGGTTGGCCCGCTCCGATTGGCCGTTACTCTGTGGATGGAAACCAGAGGATAGACTGACACTCGCCACCAGTAATCTACAAAACTCCTTCCAAAATTTGGAAACAAACTGGGGTCCCCTGTCGGAAACCACGTCCATCGGGAGGCCATGAATGC